ATGTTAAATGCAAGGCACAATTCTACTTGGCCTGTGAAATTATTTGGATTTTCTATTAATATTAGCACATTTCACAATGCACTGTACTACAATCCCCAGCATGCACTGCAATGTAATGTGCGCACCCACCCTCCTCCTTCAACAGCAATCTACAGGCCAGCAGTTACACCTCAATTCTACCATACCAGTCATATCACCAAACACATTAGCAGCACTTCCGCTGCAGTTCAACCAATATAAACACTTACATTCATTATAAACGCTTATACTCAGCCTATATTTTGCTGTTGACGTTTTGGTGTATTTTGAATAAACACACACACTGTACCTTTAAGGCAACCAGGTTACTAACTTAATCAAATCCTATATCAAATCAAATCTTGTTTACAATGCAAATGGCATCTGCTGTGCTTTATATGGGCTACACCCCCCAGTGTACCTCATATCACTGAATCACATCCAAATAACTCCAGGTTGCAAATAGCCCACCACAAATGAAGTCATGTAGAAATACTATTGAAGTTAATTATATTTTTTTCAATGCTTTTCAATGCTTCAATGGAGCAACTCCAGTGATATTATCAAAAAATGTAACAAAAATATGATCTTTATCATTTGATTATGTCAGTGTAGACGAGAGTAATGTCTCTTTACCAACATATATTCAGAAATGAATCTGATGTAGTTTTGATTTGAAGTCACCATTAGCATAAACTAGAGGCACTAGCAATTTATTATTAGCTAACGTGCTAAAGCTGGTTAGGGGCCAGTTTTTTTCTCTTAGTTTACTGCCTGTAGAGAGCTACAGTCAGTTATCTACACAATTGTAACACTAGTATCGATGTTAGCTAAGTTGCCAAAAGCGTGGTAGAAATAATATCTAGCTAGCTAGATGGCTAAGGTACCTAGAGCACTGCTGTTGGTTACGTAGCTAAGGTCAGTGCTAGTTAATGATATGGTTGTTCAGATCATCTTTCCACGGTTAGCCTGCCTTTATGTATCGACACAAATCCTGACCCCTGACGGACACATACATATCTCTGTATTTCCCAGTGTGAAATTTTAAAATGGCTAAAAAATAAAATAAAAAACTAGAACTGGATTTGACAAAGAGCCACTGTGTGAGGATGATCTAATGGTTTAGCTGCGGTAAGTGATTCTGTCGTGTGATCTAGCACCAACTCTGCCAAAAAGAAACCAATGATAGCACCAATGAAAGGGGTAAACAGTGATGAATGATGCAAATAGACGGCATTTAAACCGCTCTGTCTGGTCGCTTTAACATTTTTTCTGCTCGTTGGGTCCCTATCAATCCTCATTAGGCATCCAGGGGCCCATGAACACGAGCTGGTTTGCATAATTTAATCATGAAGCAGTGATACACATTTCCAAACGCATTCGTAAAATTATCTTTTCATCCTCGGGGCGAGAAGGATTAATACGATTAGGGCCATAATTCAACATGGAGAGAAAAGGATAAGAAGAAAAAAAAAAAGAAATCAGGCAGAGAGCACCCTTTTTAAACTGCAGCTCAGGGCATTATGAAAAATTAATTAATTTCTGTGGAGAATCAATTTGCACTCATGACTGTATTAGACAGAGTGTTTTATCCTGTGCTGTTCACACTGAGTCCAATAACAAAAGTTACCGGACTTTAAGAAACACACAGCTGGAGGAGGAGGAGGAGGAGGGCTATAACACACACACAAACACGCTCGCACATACCAGCAGTGAGCCATGACTATTAGAGCTTGGACTTCAGTTCAGGCCATAAATGTCAAAACTCGGTCAAAAACACGGGAAAAACTCTGCTATGATGATGCTAATTAACGCTCGCCCCTATGGGAGTCTATGGGAGTTTATTAGCGCTCAGTTCACAGTGACTCCTTCAGTATAGAGCTTTGGCATAGAGCTGCTTTCTATTTACACCATCTGACTGAAACGCTCAGCCCTGCTGAAAACAGACTATTAGAACCATTCAAACTAAAATCTGAAGATTTTGCTTTTTTAATGGGAATTGGCTTTATGGTGACCATTAGATATCACTAGTTTCCTGTAGAACACCTTTAGATCCTATTGGGAAACCATCAAATGCATCTGGATTTAGTCCCAGAACCCCTGTTAAACCATTAGAGTCCTTTACACTGTGATATCAATGCATCAGGAAAACACAAAATACCATTACTGAGTATTGGACAGCACCAGGAACCAGCAGTGTGGTCAGGCTACCACTCGTATTCACAGTCAGTGAAGAAGGCCCAGAGTGACGTTTTCCTCACTAAATTCATCTTGCCTGGATCAAAACATGATTGGCTGATTCCTCTCTCACTTGCAGTACTTTCTCTGAGGACGGTCAGGGGTATGGGTCAGATTCAGATTCATGCCAATGGAGACCTCTTCTCACAGGACCAATGAGTTTAAACACAGCCGCGTATAAACAATGCTGATCTCACCGATGCTGAGTAACTGTATCATCATCACCATAAACTATTTAGTCTAGTGTAATCAGACGTGCGACTCCACACTGCTGATGAACTCACCACACAGCAGCGCTGATGATTATACAGAGAACAGAAACTTGCTGGGAAAGCTAATTAACAGTGTTTGTTAACCTCTCATGGTCAACTATGGTCAACTTTATGGTCAGTCTACTCTTCCCCATTTTACTTGATGTCTCACTGATGTTGACAGACTTATACTGCAATAAAAGATTGTGATTAAAGCTAAAAAAATTCATGCATTTTGTATTTCTTTACTACTTTTTTAAACAGGCAAACAAATGAACAGGAATATACTGCAGACTTCAGTTTTCATTTATTGTTAATCTGATCAAATTAATCAGTAATAAGTTTCCATAATGATGTGAACTGGGAATGCGTGTGCACACTCACTCAGGAACTATCACAGTGCACCCAACAATAAAGGCAGCATGGAGCAAGATTTTAAAGTTAAAGGAGACAAAGATAAGGTCTCTGAAAGTGTCGCCAGCAAGACTTTGGGTTTGACAGAGTTGATAAACGTATAATCTCTATATTCAATAGTTATTAGACTAGAGACAAAATAAAAAAGTGATACAACAACAATTTTTTTTTCAGTTTACTTGCTTTGGACAATCAACTATCTCGAAGTAATGTGTTTTATTAAACAAATGTGTGTTATCACTTTATTTCTGTGTACAGCAGTTAAATTAGTCATTCTTTGGCTGAGAAAAGATGAGCACACTCTTCTGAGCCATCAGCTGTGTCAAACACACACACACACACACACACACACACACACACACACACACACACACAAACTACAGACTCCTGAGCAAGTGGAGCAGCATATTAGGAACATTAGAGCTGATGAGCTGGAAATACAGAAAGAGCATCTCTCTCTCTCTCTCTCTCTCTCTCTCTCTCTCTCTCTCGTGCAGACAGAGTGGTGACTTCAGCTGCTAATTAATTCACTGTGTGTGCAGTGACAGAGTCATGGCTGCGAGTGCGTCAGCTCTCTGTCCAGTTATTGTGCTCAACTTTCTGCTGTGAAGTTTAAGCTGTTACAGATCACACAGACACAGGGTGACCCGAGTCAGGTGTCAGCAATGAAAACTCGAGTAGGTGTTAAGCTGCTGTTTCTTAATAACACTGATATAGACAATAAAACAGCATAATAAACCCGTCTCGCATAACTACGATCAATAGCCTCTTTACACAGACAGCAGCGGTCACTTTACCCACACTGCAGTGGTCACTTTACCCACACTGCAGTGGTGACTTTACCCAGACAGAAACAGTCACTTTATCCAAACTGCAATGGTGACTTTACCCAGACAGCAGTGGTCACTTTACCCCTCACACAGCTACGAAAAGCCAGAGCAGATAAAAGAAGTAACGTGAATAGAATTCGTAACAAATGTAAAGTTTGATATGAAATAAACTATGAATAATTACTGTAAAAACAAAACCCTAAATGTAAACAACACGCACACAAATTCAGGCTGCCTTTCTCCTTCGCACACACACACACCACACACACCACGCACACACACAGTGCACAAACTCGGCCAGTTTTCCTCTTTGCTATCATGAGAACTGCAGACCCTGAACACAAACAACATGGTGAACTGCAAACACAAACAGCACTGTAGACTTTAAACACACAACACTGTAAACTTTAAACACACAACACTGTAAACTTTAAACACAAAAAAACAGCACACACAAACAAAACTGTAAACTGCACATAAATAAAACTATAAACTATAACCACAAACACTGTAAACTTTATACACAAACACTGTAAACTTTTAAACACAAACAAAAATGTAAACTGAAAACTTTTAACATACAAAACTGTAATCTATAAACTTCAAACAAAAAACTGTCAATTTAAACTAGAAATACAAAACTGTAATTGATACATTTTAAACACAAACAGCACTGTAAACTATAAACACAAAACCTGTAAACATTTAAACACAAACATATTTGTAAATTGTAAACTATGAACACAAAGTATACACATGTTTAGGTTGCATTATCTCTCTTTCTCTCTCTCTCTTTCTTTCTCTATCTTTGCCTGTCTCTCTTACACGCTGTCCATTCTTTTCTCTCTCTCACTCTCCCATCTCTCCTCTCTTTCTTCTCTCACACATTCCCAATCTCTCTCTCACACACACTCTGTCTATCTCTCTCTTTCTCTACTAATCTCTCTCACACCCATAAATGGTACAAACTGGACCCGTTTTATTCTTCACTATGAAACAATATAAGCCATAAACACAGACATAACTCTAAACCAAGCACAACACATCATCTCTCTCACACAGCCCCACATAGTGGACCATGATTTCTCTTGATATAACTGTTTTTCTGTTTTGCTATGAGGCTGATATCCAGTAAAGCTATAAATCACAAAAAAACAAACATCACTGAAAACTCAAACTCAACCGCGACCAAAACAAGTCCAGCGAGACTCTGTTAATCAGCTCCGCATCCTGAGGAATGTGCTCTTACCTGGCGTTGGTGCAGTCATTGTAGAGGACCTCGAAGTCCTTCCTGGAGATGAGTTTGCAGCGGTTGACCCCTGGCTGGATGGCGCCCAGCCCGCGCAGCACGCGCACCTGCTCCACGTTGCACACCACCGGCGTGATCTCGAGCCTCTTCAGCTTGGTGTAGACGGTGTGCAGGCCGCCCACCAGGTGCTTGAGGAAGAGCTCGAAGGCTTGGGGCAGGCAGATGAGCTCCCTGCCGTTCACCGTGAACGAGGCCAGCTTGGCCCCGCGCACCTCCACCATGCGGCACTCGTTATTCTGAGGCGTGTTCTCCACCGGCGAGGGCGTGCAGTACGCGGGCTTCGCGCTCACTGCATCCGGGCTGGCCGACTGGAGCAAAGCCTCGGCGCGGAAAAGGCTCGGAACGGACGACGGAGAGAGCGTGGCGGGCGTTGAAACCGAGCTGGAGACCGAGATCGAGACCGGAGGCGCGGAAGGCAGCAATGGAACCGAAGTGGCCATAGCGTTATTATAGCCGTGGATGTGGTGGCGGTGGTAGAGATGAATTCGAGATCTAACCTCCGCGACCGAGAGAAATGATGGGTGATACGGATAGAGACGAAAGAAAGAAAAGATAAACGAAAGAAACGAGCGCGCAAGGAAAAGTGGTTTCGATATTTAAAAGTAAAAGCGCTGGCGGTGGTAAAGATGAATTAGCGAGATAACCGCCGCGAACGCGCGAGATGAAGAGTGATACGGATAGAGAAGGAGGAAAGAGAAGAAAAACGAAAGAAAGGAGCGCGCGAGGAGAGGCTGGTTTTGGGACCCAAAAGTAAATGTGGCGGCGGTGGTCGGGATTAGTTCAGGAGACAGGCGCCGCGACCGAGCGAGGTGAAGAGAGATAGAGACAGAGAAGAAAGAAAGAAGAAACGCACGAAAGAAAAAAGAAGGGGGGAGTAAAGAAGAGTTTTAAAGTGATGGTGGTGGAGCTTGTGGAGGTGGTAAAGATGAAAACGACAGTTATGCGCCGCAGCCGAGAGAACAGAAGAGTGCCACGAGCAGAGAGGAAAGAAAGAAAGAAGAAACGAAATAAAGAAGAGAAAACGAAAAGTGTTTCTTGGATTTAAACGTGAAAAAGACAATAAAAAGAAGCGCGAGCCGGATTGGCGAGAGAGTCACAGCATCGATCGATCAGTGAGCCGCGGTAGTGACAGCGGGAGTGAGTGAAGAACTGAAGGAGGACCGTGGAGCTCTGGCACGCTGAAAGCTGAGGAGGAGGAGCCGAGAGAAGAAGGAGAGAGTTTGGGAAAGATACGTTTTCGTAGCCCACCCGTATTCAGACAAGCCACGCCCCCCGCGCTACACTCAGTTCATTCACAGAGATGTTGGTATGAACAACTAGCCAATCGTAGCACTGAAGGCGGGGCACTACCAGCCAATCCAAGAGCACGAAGCGAAATAACTTAGTATCAGCCAATTGTATTGCATGAGGCGGGACATTATCTGCCAATCACAGCACTGGGGGCGTGGTTTTTCCAGAATGCGGGTGGGGAAAAATGAAACAAGGCGCCACAGCTCGCCCACGTGCGTTTTCCCCTCGAACCAATCACCGTTTCAGTGCTGAATAACAAAAGCAGCGAGTTACAAGTAAGTTTTACATACAAAGACATTAGAAATGAATTCCAAAGGAACAAATTAAACCTCCTTCTTAGACAGTTCATCATTAGAAACAGCGAGAAACACTGGCTGAGGAAGCCTCGAAGCAGTCTAAGCTACAAAAGCCAACTGTTGGATTAGAACATAAAAATACTGCACGGAAACACGTTAGTAAAGTGGGTTCAATAACGTGGCGTCACCTTTAAAGGGGAATTCCACCAATATTTCACATTCTCTGCATAATTTATGCATTTTACACTGATGTGTAAACAGACATTGAGACAGGTTTGATGTAAAATGGTTAATCATTGAGAAATGAACAAACTCTGATGGGAACCAGTGGCCCACAACGCAAATATAGTCATTTCATTCACTATCCAAAACCACCAGTCAACCCACACACACACACACACACACACGCACACACACACTGTCTAAGTCGCTTATCCTCCTGGGTCACAGGGTGTGCTGTAGCTCATCCCAGTGCTCATTGGGTGGAAGGCAGGAAACACCCTGGACAGGCTGCCAGTCCATCACAGGGCGGACATACACATTCATACCTATGTAATTTAGCATCTCCAGTTCCGCTGACAGCATGTCTTTGGACTGTGGGAGGAAACCCACACAGACACAGGGAGAACATGCAAACTCCACACAGAAAATATGGATGGATGGATGGATGGATGGATAGATGGATAAATGGATAGATGGATAGATAGATAGATAGATAGATAGATAGATAGATAGATAGATAGATAGATAGATCCTGAAGGAAATTTAGAAAACATCCTGGTCGCCCAGCTGGGGACTCAAACCCAGGCCCTTCTTGGGGCTCTAGAGCAGAGCATTTCACAGCAAACCACTCTGAATGACTTTTTACATCTTAATGTAAACTTTATGGGTAAAACTGGAGAAATATTGAAAAAATTGTGCAATTTAATTTAATTAATTAGAAGTGTTGTGATGAAGTAGCTTAAAGTAACTACAGAAATGAAAACTACAGAAGTGAAAATGAGTGCAGAAAAACTAGCACTCAGTTCAGTTTGGGTGACCATTTGACAGTGTTGAATTAGGGGTGGACAGTACAGCAGAAAAATAAGAAAAAGAAAAATAGAAAAAAAGAAACAGTAGTGGCACATTTAAAGGGCCCATTTCCTGCATATTTCTTACCATATTTTCCTCCTAAGATCCACTTATGATCTTTGTGTGGGTTTATGTATAATTAATTTTTACATAACCATTTCCATCTTCTCTTTATTCAATTGAATTAAACATGTTGTTTTTGTTACTGTGCCTGTAAGACTGATATATTTACATGAGCCTTGTTCTGATTGGCTGCACTATATAGTTTCTGGTTTAAAATATATTGTGTCCGGGCTGATACTCTCCTTGTAATTCCAGTGTGAATGGGTGGAGCTAAACTGCAGAATGGGTGGATTTAGGCTATTTGTGACATCCCAAAAACTGAGCTGTCTTTACAGCTTCGAATCACCTTGGGAGCCACAACATTTCATGTCCATTTTATTGAAGTAAAGTTTCACCATCTTGGCTGTAAATATGTCTCGGTATGTGCTAATGTCCTCATATAGGCTAAAGGTATAATATAAATGAAAATGCAGACTTACTTTGCTCTGCTTTAAGCTTTAGCTCAGCTTTAGCCTCTTTTCTCACATCTCCGGCAGGAAACTTTTCCTCAAAAGTAGAACCGTTTCTTGTAAAATGTCTCTCAATGTTAGATTTTTTTACAAGGCTGAAGTCAGTTTGTCATTTGCCGGCTTCTTGTTTGAATTTTCCTGTTCCACTTTAAGCGGTGCCTGACATACCAGAGCAGCTAATTATGTAGCTAACTGTTGCACCATTTAAGGTGGAACGGGAAAATTCAAACAAGAAGCTGACGAATGGAGTGATTATAAACGCAAATGAGTCAGTTCATCTCAAAACTATAGATGTTTGTCAAATCTTTCTCTTTGCCTTTTCATTAGCTACTAGCTAGGCGAGACTGTTGTCTGCGTTGCTATGGTGACCAAACTTCAGGGTTAAAGGATGAATTAGCAGATGTACATTAACTCCAGCGTTTAAGACCAGTTGTGGTTAAAACTGTGTTAGAATGATCAGCAGAGCTTTGTTTTACTGCAAAAAGAGGATTATTTTACTTTTACCTACAAATGCTGCTGGAGAGTCACAACAGAGCAGTAAAAGAGCTGTCTGTGGCCCTGGAGCTGCGTGTTGCCGAAACCCTGTACTGTTACAAACTCCTTTTTTATGGAAATGTTTTTTCCATGATACAGGGGCTTTAAAAACACTATTAAAAACCATGAATACAATTTTATACAGTGTTTACAGGTGCACTTCATAAACATTCTCATATTTCCCACCTCTAATGCAAATAAAGAACTGTCTTTTTGTTAGTTTAGGTGCTTGTTGGGTTTGATTATGAAATCATTTTTGGTCTTGCATGTAAGAGGTGGAGTGCTGTCACTGAAATAAATAAATTAATGAATAAATAAATAAATAAATAAATCCTGAATGAAATGAAACCCCCTCAATTGAGGGATGAGTCGATTCCTTTCCTCACAAATACTCGAGTGGAAATAAAAAGCGCTGTCATTCGAAAATAGTCACAACAAAGCACTGTACCCATAATAACTGTAGACGGCAGTGAGTAAACAGGACTAGTCACTACAACACTACAAACCTCTGCACGCTGGACCAATTAAAACATACGTTCGTTTGGGAAATGAGCCTCCGCTTCAATTCTTCATGTCATGGCCGGCAGACTAGACTGCGTTCGAGTGATTAATTCCCCGCGTGAGAACTTCTGATGAAACAATACTGAAAGCAATTTAAATAAAGCTCATTTAAATGTCAATTCTCATGGTTGGGGCTTTACTATAATTGGCTATTTAATTAAAACAATTTTCACAGTCATTAATACATCTCCAGCCTTGTAGTGCACTGACATATTTTAATTACATGGTATTAACAAAATTGATATGCTTTAGAAAGCATGGTGAAAATTTGAATAAGAAATGATTAAGGCAATTATACATCATCCCCTTATGGACATCAGAGGTATCAAAATATAATTGATGAACTTTGAGAAGAGAAGGATGGAGCGAACACGGGTTAAGGCAGCGCTTTTAATTAAGAGCCAGAGAAAGGTGCAAAGAAAACTTCATACGTACTGCTGATGGGAACTATATGCTTCTGTGACATTGTGAATTTGAACCGTCGGGCTCACATGTACAGATGAGAAGGTGTAGATTATAGTGCCACCTATTGGGACAGCTTTTAGGCTTTTAAATGGAGTCCATTAACTGAAATGTCAATAGCTGGTATATACAGAGGACTTACTTGTACTCATTACAGACTACTTAACCCTTTAAACCTGACGTCCTTTCATAAGAAGACACTCGTTTGGGTCAATATGCTACAAAACAGGCGAGCTCTATCTCAGCTATCCGATACTCATAACACTGAAAAAAGTGGTGCAAGTGACTTGATTCAAATTTGCACACTGTTCCCACATGAATACACATATCATGTTAACAGGGTACTTACTTTGTGCTGATGTAATATAGTTCATTTATGTGTAAATGATATATATATCATTTACACGAATGAATGGTGTTTACATATATATATATATATATATATATATATATATACTTACATATATATACATATATATATATATATATACATATATATACATATATATATATATATATATATATATGTAAAAAGGACAAAGGTTCACTGTAAAATTACAGTAAATTACTGGCTGCTACTTATTATGCAGCTTTAAGGCTTTAAAAAGTAAGTAAAGGAGGTTAACTTGACATTTTTAGCTCATTAACAGAAGAATAATTATGTTTTACATTTGCTTATTATTTTCAGTTCATTGTCTTAAAATTACACATTAAACCAGTTTACTTACTTTTTTAAGCTTTAAAGCTGCATTTTTTTACAGCGATACTAGTTGCATTACTTTTGAAGCATATTAATAATAAATGACTGTAAAATAGCGACTGTGTACTGCAACCTCCCACCCACATA